AAATAAAAAAACGTGACTGAGGTACTCTTGCCATCGTCGATGTCAACATTGTGACTACTATCACTGAACCCAACCAATCCTTTCACATCTGCTTTGCCGAAGGTTAAACCCATAGCTTAAAGTACCTCGCAAGTACCTTAAGATTTGTTTCATTGCAGCGCCATGGGACTCCTTTGGTTCCTGCATGTATCGACTTAGTACTCCAACTGAAAACGCCATGTCTGGTCGAGTGTGAAGTAAGTATCTGAGGCATCCCACGTTTCTTCTGTATTCTTTCTCGTCGATGCTCTTCTCTTCAGGTGCTTTGCTCAGTTTCAAACCTGATTCCATTGGTGTATGAACTGCATTGCATTCATCCAAGCCATTCTCTTCAAGGATTCTCTTAGCATACCTTTCTTGATTTAAGGTGATACTGCCTTCTTGCTGTAACACCTCAATTCTGAGATAGTAAGTCAATCTTCCTAAATCGTTCATCTCAAACTTCTCTGACATCTCCTTTTTAAACTCATGTATTAAGTTCAAACTTGTTCCTGTAACAAGTAAGTCATCGACATAAACCGCTACCAGCAGAAGATCTTCTTTTCTCTGCTTTCGATATAGTGAGGGTTCCTTGGAGCACTTTATGAAATTCAAACCTCTAAGAATTTCATTCAACTTGTTGTTCCAGGCTCTTGGAGCTTGCCTTAATCCATAAAGAGCTTTTTGCAACTTATATACTTTATTTTCATTCCCTTTGATCACGAAACCTTCTAGTTGCGTCACATAAACCTCTTCTTTAAGTTCTCCATGTAAGAAAGCGGTTTTAACATCGAGATGATGTACTTCCCACTTGTTAGAGGCGGCTAAGGCAATGATGAACCGAATAGTTTCAATGCGAGCGACCGGAGCAAACACCTCATCAAAGTCGATGCCAAACCTCTGCACATACCCCTTTGCGACGAGTCTTGACTTGTATTTGTTGATGCTTCCATCCGAGTTTCGTTTGATCTTAAAGACCCACTTGAGTCCGATTGCCTTTGCACCTTGAGGAAGATCAACTAAAGTCCACGTTTTGTTTTTGGTAATGGATGCTATTTCTTCTTCGCAAGCATCTCTCCATACATTCAGTTCTTTGGCCTCCTGATAATCCCACGGTTCCTCGTTCACGGACAGCAAAAGACGCTCACTTTCTTCTTCCACTAAATAGCAAACGAAATCCTTTAGGTACTCTGTCTTCTTTGTTTGTCTAATTGATCTTCTAAGAGCTGGTTCAACTTGTGTTTCCTCTTCAGTAATCTCTGTGTTCTCGAAATCAGGCACATTAGGTTCATCATCTTCGATACTCTCATCATTCGTAGTATCTTCTCTTCCTCTGTTTTCATCTTCCTCTGTTTCTGTTTCGAGATCATCGTTATTACTTGAACCATCGAACTGAAGCGTGAAAGTACCTGTGTCATCGTCTCCTGTTTCCTTTGAACAGCTCCACTTCCAGCTTCTTCTTTCATCAAAGATGACATCTCTGCTTACCACTATCCTCTTGGTCTTTGGATTTAGTAATCGGTAAGCCTTTGAACCTGGTTCAGTTCCCAGATGAACCAGTACTTGAGATCTATCATCCAATTTTTTAAGATGAGGTACTGACATCTTAGTATACCCGATGCAACCAAAAACTCGCAGATGTTCGATATTAGGCTTTCTTCCCTTGAATGCTTCATATGGTGTTTGTAAGCTCAATGTTTTTGTTGCAACTCTATTTATGAGATATGTAGCATGTCTTACTGCTTCTCCCCATAAATAGTTTGGCACTTTCATATGCTTCATCATGCTCCTTGTCATCTCCAAAAGAGTTCTGTTTCGCCTTTCTACGACCCCGTTTTGTTGTGGACTGTATGGTGCAGTCAAGTGTCTTTGTATCCCTGTGTTTTCGCAAAATTCTTGAAATTCTTGGGATGTGAACTCTTTACCACTATCAGTTCGGAACGTCTTGATCTTTGTTCCTGTCTCTTGTTCAACTATTCCTTTGAATTTCTTGAATCTGCTGTAAGCTTCACCCTTTTCTTTCAAGAGAATCGACCACATATACCTGGAATAATCATCAATTAAGACGAATATGTATCTGTTTTGTGCTGCAGTTGCAGGTGTAATGGGTCCACACAGATCTCCGTGAATGAGTTCGAGTGTACGTGTTGCTCGATACGTAGTTGCTTGGGGAAAAGATTTCTTGATCTGCTTGCCAAGTAAACACGATTGACAAGTCTCTTTCTCGATTTTTAGACTCGGTAAACCAGTGACCAAGTCCTCCTTGACCATAGTCTTCATTGTCTCTATACCGACGTGTCCTAACCTTGCGTGCCACTTTGATGAATCACTTATTGTTTGTATATGTAAACACTCTGTATTCTCCACCTCCATTCGTACCTTGTACAACCGATTTCGCGATCTTGTTGCCTTCACCAACACTTTACCATCCTGATCGGCCAAGGTTAAGTTGTCACCTTTCATTCTAACATCACAACCCGATTCTGTAGCTTGCCCTAAGCTGATGATGTTGCTCTTGAGACCTGGGATAAAGTAGACATCAGCTAGTACCTTTCGTTCCCCATCTTTAGTCACAAATAGTATTGAGCCTTTTCCTTTGATGTCAATACGGGAGTCATCTCCAAATCTTACTTTCCCTGTGATTTTATCATCAATCTTTGAGAAGTAGCTTCGGTTTCCTGTCATATGATTGCTAGCTCCGTTGTCTAAGTACCATATATTTCCATCATCACTTGAAGTTTCGAAGTTGCTTGGTTTCACGTTCTTCTAGTTAAGAAACACCACTTCATGAACCATTGGCTTCTCTGCTTTGTGAGTATCTTCTGCATCGGTTTCTTGTGCTTCTTGTAACTTAAGGAGCCTGTCTGGGCAATTTGAGGCGAAGTGCCCTGACTTGTCACACCTGTAGCACACTATCTTCGACAAGTCCCTTGCCTCGTTTGCCCTTCCTCGGCCTCTTCCTCTGTTATAGAAGCGTCCTCCTCGACCTCTGCTTCTATTTTCTTTGGAATAGTTCCGATCTGTCTGTGCTTCTGTATTCGCATACATTAGTTTGTTCTGATTCTCTTGAGTTTCCTCTTCCTCTTCATGGATTCGCTCTTCATAAGCCTTTAGACGTCCTACGATATCCTCGAAGCTTGTAGCATTAAAGTCGAGTACTTGTTCAAGCGATGCTACTATATGTATGTATTTCTTCCGAGGAATACTCTTGAGAAACTTCTTTACCACCTTAGATTCTTCAATATTTGTTCCCAAGGCTGCAGACTTTGAACAGATTTCGGCCAGCTTGCCGCTGTATTCATCTATGGTTTCGGTGTCCTTCATCTTCAATCGATCAAAGTCAGCCATTAGGGTTTGTAAGCGTGCTTCCCTGACTCTCTCCGCTCCTACGTTCCTCGTTTTGACTGCGTCCCAAACCTTCTTCGCTGTATCTAACTCTCCGAGTTGTAAGATAAGCGTTTCGGGTATGGATTGGAAGATGAGGCCCATTGCTATGTCGTTCTTCTCTCCGTCGTCTGATCCTGTTTCCACAACTTCCCAAGCCTTGTGGATTTTTAGAAGAACCCTCATTCTTAACGCCCAAACAGTATAGTTTGTAGAATTAAGCATAGGGCATTGTATCGTTGATGTGCTTATCTCCTTCAGTCAAGTAACTGGAACGATGTCTCCCATGATCAATTATCTTCGTATTCGAACCTCTTTGCTTTGGATCGCTGGTTTTCTTAGCTCTGATACCAAATATTGTTCGAATGCCTTAGATAATAAGATCACCAAAATAACTTCTTCTCTTATTGCTTTATAAAATAACTCAAAACTAAAGCTCACAATCTCTTAAGGGATGCTACAACTTTAGCAACTCCTTATATAGGAATAGATAACTCCTAAACCTAATAGAACTACAAAATAGAATATTTCCTAAAATCACTTATTATTCCTAAATACAACTTAGTTAGGAATTGGATAACTTGCTCTTCAAGTTTACTCTAACATTCTCCCCTTTAAACTTGAAATCTTCTTTGGATACTCTCTGCACTCCTATGAAATCTCTCATCTCTTTGAATTTTAATCCTTCCAAGTGCCTTTGTCAGAATATCAGCCTTCTGCTCAGGTTCCAGGAACATGCTCGACAGAATTTGTTCATTCTCA